ATTTTCTCATGTCTGTACTCAAATTCGGTTATCATTTTGTCACTGCTGATTTAGATACAGTATGGTTTGACAATCCGTTAAAATATTTATCAACTAATATAGCACAAGTTGTCCTCCAGGGACAAACGCATCGTCATAGTCAATTAAGTGGCGGATTCATATGCGTACATTCAACCTCAGGCGGTAAACAGTTCTGGCAACGTGTGATACATTGTCATAATAAAAACATGGGATATCTATTGAAAACACGGATGAAAGCTACAAGTAAATATACGGAACAAGAATGTATTAATCAAGTCGCAAATGAAACTCTGAATCGTCGAACACAAATTCACTATTTGAATGAAGATCTTTTCCCCGATGGACGACGATTTTTTGTACAAAAATTACCACAACTGAACGGCGTTATTCCAGTCGTTGTGCATAATAACTGGATTATTGGATTAGATGAGAAATGGAAACAATTTCAATCATGGAATTTATTGTGCGATGACGCGACTCCTACAAACGATGAGGTGAAATTTCATAAAAACTTGTTTAAAAACTTTCGTTTACGAATTAAAATTTTAACTTATAACCGATTTCAAAGTTTAAAACGTTTATTGATAAGTTTATTGACAACATACTATTTCAACGATCACGTTGATTTAGATATATGGATTGATCATCCATCACAAGACGCTACAGCTGGAACGCGGAAAGAATGGTCATTGATCGTTCAATATTTGTCGAATAAAAGTCAGTTTCATTGGCCTCACGGGTCTCTATTAATCTATCAACAGAAATCACATATCGAACTCTTTGAACAATGGACTCAATCAGCCAGAACAAAAACAGACGAATATGAAATACTACTGGTTCTAGAAGATGATATGACTGTTAGTAGATATTTTTATGAATATATCAAAAAGGCACTACAGTATTATTACTACAATCGCACAAATTACGATCCACTTATGTACGGTTTTTCATTACAAAATCAAGATACAATATTAGGACAAACAGGAGGAACAAAAACACGATCAAGAGATATACAAACGATCCTGAGGGATGATTATGGCAGTCCGCTCTTTTATAAATACCAATTATTAGGTAAGTAAAACTGTTACGACCTTTCATAACATCACTTGATCGATGAACACAACTTGAATCGCATTTGAACTACTATTCATAGAACAAAGTACTTCGGTTTAAATAAATGGAAGCAAGCTATACCTACGTCTTTCCTAAAAAATGGTGACTAATTCTTGATTTCCGTCCTTAGTCGGAGTCAACGATATATCGCAGTATTGATTGAGCACGAAAAACCCAGACTCTTAGAGCACATTGTTCTTTGCCTTCTGTTGTGCGCGAAGTCCCAATTACGCAACGTAAAGAACGATATGTTTTTGCTTATATCCTTATTTTAATTAACCTGCAATTAATTATTATTGAGTACCACGCACTGTCCTGCAATAGGAGTAATAGATTTAGTTGCTTGAAAGGAGGATAGTCTTATTAATAGCTATGGAACCGTCTTTTCTGTCTGCTAATTAACATCAGCTACATAGAATTATGTCGTTGGTTATAGACTATTCTTTCGTGTACACGCACTGGAGCTGACATCGACTTCTTTAGTAGTCGATTTCTTCGAAGTGTATTGTGTGGCGATTTTTATGTGTCTGTATGCGATAGTGATTATTTTAAGTTACGGTTTATGATAGGAGTGATGTTTTCAAGTGATTTTTGAGTTAACTTTTTTGTCGACTTCTATCTGATTTTCGCCGATTTTGAACCCAGCTCTACGAATTCCGTGACACGATATTTCCGCGAACGACATTACTGCGAACCGCCATTAAGTCGACACAGATCATAGGAATTTTTTGCACAGCTATATTAGCGATCGAAAATTTTGCCACCCATGGTCTATGTCGACATACTCTCTAAAAAAATCGGTTTATTACGAAACCTAAAAGGTTATAGAGAAGTGCAACCATTTCAAAATCGTTTTAGGGTTCGTACTTCGACTACGAAACCTTTATGTTCGCCCAGAACCATTCGTGATAAACCTATTTTTTTAGAGAGTAGTCCATGAGCGGATGTCGACATAGACCATAGGAAAAATTTTCAGTCCTTAATATAGCTGGAGTAAAATTTCGTATGGTGTATGTCGACATAATCGCGGTTTGCGGTAATGTCATTCACAGTAATGTCCTTCGCGGAAATGACGGTGTATGACGGATTCAGAGTTGTACTCTATATAGGTGTTGTCGATGAGAGTCGGAGACGACTTGATCGAGAGGTGAGTTCTATGTATGGGTGTTGGATATCGATGGTTTGTAACGTAATTTCTATGTATTTTAGAAGTTCACGGATATTGGAATGATTTTCCATTAGCTGAAAGGTGATGTTCTTAAAATTGTCAGTTGGAGGTCAAGCTGTTAATGTGTCTGTGCATATAATTTCCGACCACAAATGTACTCAACAGAGGCGTTCTCCTGTGTAAGTCTTTATATACTGTCAGATATCAGGTATATATACTCTTAGCGCATCTGAGTACCCTTCAGATGCAGAAATTCTCTTCTGATGTACGTATTCCCTATAAGTAGCAATTTCTAAAGTCTAAAAACTTACGTAAGCGAAATTAGCAGCAGATTTCTATATTCTCGCCTAACGTTTTTTATTAAAGCTGGACCATCTCGAAATAAGTGTGCCAGATAGAACTCGATGAGCTCAATCGATTGGTGAAATCAGTTTTCCAAAATATTGTTTCCTCCGCTTTTAAAATGACAAATACTGATTTTCTGAACGAGACGAAAACTCAAACTTTTGTATTTTCACCTAACATTTTATATTAAAGCTGTGCTATCTCTGGAAATAAGTGTGCACACTTTGTGTGTCATTGGCACGCTTGTGCCATAGAACTCGATGGGCTCTATCAAGTGGCAACATCAGTTTTCCGAAATGTTGTTTGCTTTAAGTACGAGTTATCGGTGAAAATTTGAGAATGGGATAATGACTCTGTTCATTGGAAAAGTTGAAGCTAAGAGCTTGCTCTGTCGGAGGCTTGTAAGGAAAAGTTGGGTTAGGTTTGCTGCGAGTATAAGAGACGAAATAAACACTCGTTGGTCTGGGCTCTTTTTTAACATAGTTTTCTTGAGATTTCTTTGGATCTTAGAAGTGTTATCAGTGTGTGAACGACTCAGGGAAATACTGACAGCCCTAGTGCAAGTACTTGATTAATTGCTAAGTACTTGTCATTGATCGAGATACTTGCCTTATTGCTAAGAAGTACTTTCTGAAAGTACTTGGCATGTAAGCACAAGTACTTACAAGTAAATTCACTTCTTGTAAAAAGGCAAGTACCGGCTTCATTACGCAGACAAAGTACTTGGCCCCAAGTACGTTCTCTAGGGAGTGTGCGCGAAATCACTTCTGAAAACATTTTATCATAAGATCGGACTTAACGAAAGTCAGGCGTTCGGGAAGAGAATTCAGAGTAACCGATCGACATTAGTTTCTAAAACAGAAACTTTTAGACACCTATGCACTTATGATGTTATATGTGTATGACTATAAGCAACGAGCTAGAAACTGAAGAGATTATTATACTCTGACTCATTACGTAATCCAGTCCTCACCCATGCGATTATCTGCCGTCGTCTACTAGACAAAGGTTCATCCAGAGTTTGAACATCGACTGCGATGCGATACTCAGTCGAACAGTAGCGATTGAGGAGGATGACTTTACCTGAATATTTCACTCCTTGTCCAGAGTAGGAGAAAATGTCAAGATATTTCAAGAAAGTGTTAAGATAGCTAATAAAAAAAGTAGAATATCCTGATGGGGATATAGAATATGAACTTCGAGAATTATATAAAAAAAGGTTGCTGACCGGAAAAAAGACTTGGTCACAAGGAAAAAAGAATCGATGCAGTGTTTTCCGCTCTTTTCGGAGGTATGATAAATCTTTCCGCGAACAGCATCATTTTTTCGCTGATGAACTTTACTTAAAAAAATCGAATTTATATCCCGATCGGGATATAGAGCTTGAGACTCTACTGCATCTCACAAAACGTCATGGACTTATGTAAAAGTGAATTTTTACGTGGAATTGCAGTGAAGTAGGAGAAAAACACCAGAGACAGTGCACACCATAGCCAATGTGGGTTATAATCGATGCAAACACATAAGTCCGCAACAGAAATCCACTATTAAACAGTGGAGTGAACCAAGATCAGGAAAACCGTGTTTTCCAGTTAAATGTAACTAAGGATATTAGTAAGACGACTACCAAACTAAACAATGAAATCTAAATGCTAGATATGTATTTAGGAAACAACAGAAAAAACTATGAGAAGTGTTTTTTGTTGACTCTTGAGAGGTTTTCACATATGTACTTAATCTGAGTTGACTAGAGTGAAATATCAAAAAAAATTTCTTTATCACTTTTGTCGGTGTATTTTAGTGGAAAGAAAAGGCTAAACAGGACCCATGAGGTTTTTTTGGCTTGATCGTTTTGGTAACCGGCTGATCGGACCGTCACAGCGCATGTCGATTCAAACAAAATCGCAACTAATCGTCATGTCATATAACAGTCTCGATCGGCGCCGCATTTTACTAAGATCGCGATTGAATGCTTACCCAACAAACAAAGAACTAGCTGATCGTTGATCATTCATTAAGTTTGAGTCTCAACTGGCCGCGATCAGTATTTTTATCAGTTGCTCGAAGCTGAAATTCAGATCGAGTTTGATTGGGACCGAGATTTCCATTGTGGACTTATTTGTTTACATCGATTATAACCTACATTGGCTACACTGTATCGAGTGTTTTTCTTCTACTACAGTTCTTTTCTTTATCAAAAATCAGTGTTTTCAAAATCAATAAAACATATAGTTCGTGATGCTGCGCCAATTCTGAGTCGGCAGTAAAATATTCAGGTAAAGTCATCCTTCTCAATCGCTACCGTTCGACTGAGTATCGCATCGCAGTCGATGTTCAAACTCTGGATGAATCTTTGTCTAGAAAAAACTGTTTTTCTTTTGGACATAGAGTACATTTTAAATTTTTCAATGCCGAACAAACATGAGCATCATCTTAGCGTTGCAGTGAAGTTCACTTTACGTGAGAAAATGCATATTTCAAGCTCCGTGCGTTTTGTTTTTGTAAGGCTGGCTTTCTGGCTGAAGTATCGCGCAGTTATCGTAACCAGAGAATCTGTTGGAAAACGTTTCAGTTGTCTGAATATGGATTCCGCCAAAATCTTTGCAATATCTTTTGTCCCAGACCAGATGAGTCAGAAATTTTGAAAACAAAAGAAAGGAGGAAAGCGAACGAAACAATATTTTGGAAAACTGATTTCACCAATCGATTGAGCTCATCGAGTTCTATCTAGCACACTTATTTCTAGAGATAGCACAGCTTTAATAAAAAACGTTAGATGAAAATATAGAAATCCGCTGCTAACTTCGCTTACATTAAAAGCTTCAATTTCCAGGTGATATTGTGTGAAGTATTCGAAATCACATTTAGAAAACATTATTCCTGAAACTTTATATCGGTTTATCTGAGCATTCTCGACCCCTACGGGGAGTCTCTCTTAAGTCATAGAAGTCGGCAATTCAGAAATAAACAGATTTTCTTGTGTAGTATTCATCCATCTGGCGTATCAGAGTAATGTGTCATAATTCTTTGCGCCTCTAAATAATATTCACAAGCCCAAACATTTCTATTTTGTATGCAAATAATGCTTTGTCTCGTTTTCTGAATAACGTTCTTGGATACGCGCTAAGATTGTATACACAGAGAAGAGACAACGAGGAATTATCAAATATTTAGTCACTGTTGTTTCCTGAACCCTTCACTCTTGCTGTCACTCATAAATTACTGAGATGTATGAACACGTTTTGAGCTGCGCTCTTTCAACATGCGATGGCACGTGGATAGCATTCTCCAGATCCATTTTCCCTTGTTATTGGCTTAACTTGTTTTATTACATTTCTTTTTTAAACTCGCTACCCTTTATCCTCTCAGTGTTTCAATATGCTTGAAAAAACTGATGTTCACGGTGTGATATAAGACGAAACACCCGAGATATGTATCTGAGTGAACTGGTTG